TTTTTTTTTTTTTTTTTTGCCTGTTGTAAATTTTTAAAAATTATTATACTTTTACATTACAGGACTTTTAATATCTAGCCAGGCAGGCTTTGCTCACTATACTATAAAAAAAGAAAAGTATTTTTTTATTCTTTTAGAAAAACTTTAGGAACATTTTGTCAAGATAAAAAAAAAATACCATTAAAAAGTTAGATGGAACTGCTCTAAAATTCCTCCCTTTTTTTTCTGGTCTTCTCTTATATTGTTCGACATCTTGGTTTTTTAGTTTTTAAAAAATGTTCCTATAGGTTTTATAGATTTCTTCAGGTTATTTATAATAAAGACTTCTCATTGTGTATTCCAATTGATTATCGCTGGTATATTAGAGTTCGTTGAGTTTAGAATATTTACCTTGAGTTTAGCCACTTTGTGTAACTGGCTTATTAATTCCAGGAGCTTTTTAGTTGGTTCTTTGCTGTTTTTAAGGTAAGTTAATTATGTTACCATCCATAGCATGGTGTCTTTCTCCTCATGTTTAGTAGTTAGGCCTCTCGTTTCAGTTTCCTACCCTATTGCATTGGTGAGATTGTACAGGGTGGTGTTCATTTTTAATGATGATAGCAGACCTCCTTGCTTTGTTTCAATAAACCTAATTTCCTGTCAGTAGCAAGGCTCTGGGAGGAAAATGGGCTGGCAGGAAGGGTGGTATTTACTTACCAAAAAACACACATTTTCTTATAAGTTGAGAATTCATTAAAGGGAACCATATACGTGATGTGTGACATACACAAACTGAAAAGGGGCTAGGAAAAGACCATGCTGTAGAAGGAATTAAGTTACTTATTTTGTCAGTTCTAACCACTGATACCTACCTGTGATTATTAGTCGGGTGGCTCTGACTCACAGATCTTTTAAAATTATACCTAAGAGAATTAACTTAGGACTTTTAAAAACAAAACAAAAAAAAGATTGTGAAGACATAAATTCTCACAATAGAACAACGAAGTACGATTTGCAAAATTGTTAACGTAGACATGGATGTAGAATGCACAAGGAATGCTCTGTGTGTTCCTGAGGCTGACTTTCCACGCCACTCATAAAGAAATGCGCAGCCCTTGGCTAATTATAGCTAAAGAAAATAACCATCTTCTCTCTCTTTTCTTTTGCCCTATTGCCTTGGTTGAGCCCTTACTTTCCTGTGTATCACATGGGTCTGTGCCAGATGCTCATTCTTTGTGCCAAAGGTTTAGAGTTGGTTGCCTAGCCTTCTACGTGCCTGTCCGTTGCTCTTCAAAGTTCACATTTAACTAAGGTCATCATACGAGACAAGTGCCAGGAACTTACTGCTACTCCAGAAATAATTCCTCTTATGTTGCTATGACCTCTTGCAACCTGTGGTCTTTACTGTCTAATCTATTTTGTGTCACAGCTGAGAAGATCTGTACTCTCCTCTGAGATTTGGGGAGGCTCTGTGAGTATCCATGTGGAAAGAGAGCAGCTCCCCCAATATTCTAAAGGACGCTTCTGCTCTGCCTGCCATGAATCAACTCTACGGCTGCACCAGTGTAGTGCTGTCGCTTCCCTGGTTGGTCCACCACCATAGATCCCCTTTCCTTCCTGAGGTTCCCTCTTCCCCAGACCCCAATGCCTTCTATGACACCCCAGGTCATTTTTCCTCAGTCAGCCATCCTTGTTCCAGAGTTTTTAGCCACAGCTCCTGACTGTGTTCCTTTTCCTTGAATCCTACATGATTGTCTGGTCATCAGTCTGTTCCAACCCCGAGTGGTGCAGTGTTACTTTTCCTTAGGTTGCTTTGTACTCTTGGTGTCAGAAGTGGGAAGCTTAGGCCCTACTCAGAGCCTAGTGAGGAGCATGAGGGTTTGGATTCCCCTAACACCGCAACCTTGAGTGCTTATGTCATGTCGACATGCCCTTAAATCTCTATTTGCAGGAGAGAAATGCACATGCGTTGCCCTCAGCTACCCAGACGCTCATTCTGCACGCGACACTGAGTATCCAACCTGGTCCCTCTCACTGTGTGGATTCTTTAGACCTGTCTCTTGTACATGCATCCTGTAGATATCTGTATCCCAACCACTCTTCTTCTGCTCCCCACCCTTCATCTCCAGGCTCACATCACCTATGTCATCCAGGGAGAGGAAGGGCCATCCCACACTCTTCTCAAGCACCTGGCACCACATCTCAGGACCCTCATTAGCAGAACGTGTCACTCCAAGTCTGACTTTCATTTTCCCTGCTACAACATCAGGTTCATTAAGTGTTTGTGGCTGTGGTTTCTCAAATTGTTTTCAAAATCTGAGATTACTTTATCCCCTTATGCCATATCCACTTGTCCAGGGGAATCCACACACAGAAAAATATTTTTAATGGCAGTAAAGTACACACGACACACCCATCTTTAAGTGGACAGCTCAGTAGTGTTAAGTAGAGTCACACTGTTGGGAAGCCTATCTTCAGAACTCTCTTCATCTGCCAGAACTGAAACTCTACACCCATCAAACAATTTCCCATTCCCCCCCTCCTCCTAGCCCCATGGCAACTTTCTGTTGCCGTGAATTTGACTACTGTAGGCATGTCATATGAGTGGAATCATACAGTACTTATCTTTTTACGACTGGCTTATGTCACCTAGCATAATGTCTTCAAGTTTCATCCATGTTGTAGCAGGTGTCAGAATGTCCTTGCTTTCTAAGACTGAATATTTTCCCATTGCACATATATATTACATTTTGTTTATCCATTCATCCACTGATGGACACTGGGGTTGCTTTCACGTTTTGGGTATTGTGCATAATGCTGTTACGTACATGGGTGTACAAATATCTCTTCAGTGTTCTGATTTCATTTCTTCTGGTTATATACCCAGAAGTGGAATGACTGGATCATATGATAATTCTATTTTTAAATAGGATTTATGTTTTCCATAACAGCTGCACCATTTTACATTCCCATCAACGGTGCAAAAGGGTTCCAATTGCTCCACGTCTTTGCCAAGACTTGTTATTTTCAGTTTTTTTATTGTTGTTGTTTTTTATAGCAGCCATCCTAATGGGCATGAAGTAGTATCTCATTATGGTTTTGGTTGGCATTCCTTAATGAATTAATGATGTTGACCATCTTTTCATGGGTTTATTGGCCATTTGTATATCTTTTGGCAAACTCTCTATTTAAGTCCTTTACCAACCAATTTGGTTTTTAGAACTACCTTTCTTTAGAGCCGCGTCTGTTTATATGCAGAGGTTTTATCTATTCAGCTAGCTCACCTCACCCGTGTTCTGTCACATTGACTTCATCTGAGGCAGATTGCCTCCAGCCTCCACATCACATCCCGCAGCCCACGGCTTCCTTGCCCTTTGCTCAAACACTAAAGGTCAGTTTCCATGCAGAAAAATAGCTTACAGATGGAGGCCTGATGAAGACAGTGTGTGTCTTGGAAAGAGCCTGAAATCTGGAGACAGCCTAACTTCTCGCCCTTGGTCAGCTGCCCACTTGTTGTGTGACTTGTAGCGGGTCCTTTAATTGGTCCAGAACCTATATGGACATAGAGGTTTTGCCTGTGTTGTCAAACTCACACCAAAATAGATAAAATTATTTAAAACAAGAGAGAAATGGAGAGAGAAAGAGAGAGAGAGAGAGAGGTGGAGAGGGAGAGATTGATTCAGCATTGGGAAATATCTTAAAGGTCATTTAGAAAAATTCCTGTTCTCTCCCTACTTTAATGCTTAGCATGCTTCTTTAGTAAGTTAAGAACCCTTGCAAAGTCTGAGGGTGCTACTCTAGAAAGGTTGGGTGGCTTTATTACTGTGCCTGTTACTTTTGCAAAGTAACATGTGCGAGCAGATGTAGCTAGGGGCCTGCAAATCTGAGTCTCATGAGCAAATTGGTGAGGCTGTGGCTTCCTCCTGCCCACTCTCCCCTGATGTCTGCCCACAGCCTCTCTTGGGGGAGGATGTTTATTTCAAGCATCCGGAGCAGCATTGTGCTTTGTTCAGGATCCACCTGCTCCTCTCCAGGCCCAAACACAATTCACTGATGCTGTTGGATTCCAGAGTGGGAGGCTGGCTGCTGTTATTCCCTTGAATTTAGTCCAGGAAACTAAGCTCAGGGTGGAGAGACTCTGTGTGAAGGCCAAGACAGTTGGGATGCTAGGCTGAACAACAGTGCACCGAGTCCTTTTGCTTATTTGGTGCTACCCTTAGTTCAGTCTGGATTCCAAATTATGTTATATACACCTGCTCCCACACTAAGGAGCCTTACAGTCTAGTTAGAGAGAAATCACGATAACAGTAAGGCAGAGCATGATCAGATATCCAAGTGTGGGTTCAGGATGGCATAGTATAAAAGGTATTGCTGTGTTGATAGTAATAGTATTAGCTGCCATTTGCCCAGTGCCCATGGGGTTCAAACACGTGTGGGGCGCTCTTCATACAGCACCTCCTTACTCACCTCAATGACTCAGTCTTCAGCTAAGGAACCTGATGCTCAGACAAGCTGCACGACATGTAAAGAATCTAGTAACTAGCAGAGCAAAAGTGGATGCCCATTCTGATGGGGGGGATAGGACCAGCTTCATGAGGGAGGTGGGATTTGGTAGGATGGGGAATCCAAGGGATTCTTTCTCTTGCAACTAAGGTTATGACAATCACAGGCTCTCATGCCTCAGAGCTTCTTCATGGTGGCGCCCTCAGTCAAAGCCCCCCCACCACCACCACTACCAGCTTCTGTATACTTTCTGCCCATTCTTTAAGGCCTATATTGAGATGCTCTGATGACCCCAAACCAGATGTGTGCTCACCCTCCTTTGAATGTCCATACGATCTTAACTGCACCTTTCTTTGAGAAACTAGCTCTGTGACCTCTTGGTCTCTTTGTGCCTTGCTTTTTTCATCTATAAAATGGGGGCAATGATAGTACCCATTTCATAGGGTTATGCCAGGCCTAAATTAATCAATAAGTCTAAAACAGTTAAAACAGTCCCTGAGACATAGTAAACTTCATTTATTTTCATTGCCATGCACACAAACCAAGAGCTTAGACATGAATTCATGCCAGCCCCCCCCCCACATACAGATACACACACACACACCACGTGACACACATTCTGAGGTTTTCACAATGTCTTATATTCAGGGCTTGATAAAGGTCAGAATCTGATTGAGGTGCAGCTTCTTGGACTCAACAGGTTGAAGACCGGGCCACTTTGCTTGGCTTGTTTCAATTGTGCAGGAGCCCTGTCCCTCTGCCCCTCTCAGAAAGGGCACATATTTCAATCAAAGACATGTCAGGCGCCCAGCCATCCAGGCAGGATGTCCTCCTAGTTCTTCAGAAGGCTTGGTGCTAGGGGAGCCACGTGTGGCTTTCGGAAGAGACATGGGCCTAGAGAAGAAGAACCCTACTGATTCTATCCAATGTGATGTCCAGACTACCCATAGCAATGCTGTTTTAAAGAGCCAGATTTTTCCAGAAGCAGAGCCTCTATCCAAGGACTTAAAAAAGGAGACCTACGGAATTAATTCTTTTCCTGAGGGGTGAAGCAGCAGTAGCCTGAGAATTTATTTCTGAGACCTCAGCGCCTGGAGGCCTTCCAAGGCCACCCTTGGACTCATCTCTCTGTGACTTGGAGGTCAACTAGTCCCGCTCTCCTGGACTCATCCAAGCCCAGTGAGTTTCACTCAGCTCCCTAAAATTCCAGCTAATGGAAGAAAGCTGGGGCCTGAGGCCAATCTTGACCTTGCCTTTTGCAAGAGCAAAGGAGCCTGGATTTTCCTACCCTGGGCCACAGCAGTAGGAAAATACCCAGGCTGCTTTCCAAGCAGGGAGGGAGGGCCCTCTGGCCCTGCCACAGAAGCCGTGCTGCCTGCAAACAGGAAGCCCTCTCCTCCACGTAGGCTCGGTTCTGGTGGCCCTCGCACGCCCCTGCAGTCTTCCCCGAACAGGAAGGTTGTCAGAGCTGCTCAGGCATTTCCTCCTCTGCATCTGCCATCCGGACAGAGGAGAAAGTCTTGGTTTCCCTTCCTTTCTTGCGCAGCGGAGGCCACTCTGATTGCAGGCTGCTGGAATAATCCTGGGGCGCTCGAGAACAGGGTGTTGGAGCGGCACAGCCGGTGCCCTTTCCTGGAACTCACTTTTGAAGAATTATCAGAGTTTATCTTCTGAGCCTGAGTTCCTGAGTAGGACTCAGTTCCTGAGTATGGGCCAGTCAGCAACCTGGAGGAAGACCTGTGAACCCCAAAAGCATGGGTTCCATACTTTTCATGGGAAAGGGGGGTGGAAGACTTGACTGAAAGACCATTTCTATTTGCACCATGATCTTTGTGAGGCCCCCTGGAGAGCAAGAGGGAAGGGACCGAGGGTCCTGCTGAGCCTATAGTCATAGATTTGGCCTCCACTCCTCACTTCTCTTGCCTTTTCTCCTAACATCTGGGGCTATTGTAACCTTGAAATAAAGGATTTTGTCCTCAGTATTATGCTATTAATATTTTTTCGTTATTGGCAGTTTCTTTTAAATTTAATTTGAAGAGTATATGTGGGCGTGGGCAGTCCTTAGGTGAGATGATATTTCATAAACTTGTTCTCTGGCATCCTACACCTAGACACTAATAGATATATGTTTTGGTACTGAGACATTTTTGAGTGGATTTCTTATTGTGTTCTTGCACACATACAGTTCATGGTACTTCCCC